GCCCTGCCCCCGGCCGGGCGTGCCGCCCTTGTATAATGCCTTTATGTAACCGGCCGCGGCCAGGGGGTCTCCTCCTCCTCCTTGTCCCCCACACCCCTCGGGAATGGGGCTTTTCTTGCTGTAAGATCGAGTTGTTTAAAAATTGAGAGGCCAGTCCAGTCCTCAAAAATAACGTTTTGGCACGTCAGCCTCATGCGGTCCTAGGTGGGATGCGTGGGAGCAGGGCACGTGGAGGGAGGACGCTCCACCATGCTGCCACGGGCTCCCACCTCGGCCCTTCAGGAGGAGAGTCTGTCCCTGCCAAGAGGGGCCTTAGCCAGTGGCTGGGGAGCTGGAACCGCACACGTGGGGCCTGGGCGGATGCAGGGCAGGGCAGAGCCACCTTGGCTCCAGCAGCACCCCCATGTCTGGGGTGGCCCTCGTGCAGGTCAGACACTGCCCCAAAACCATGGGTGTACAGCGGTGCGAGGCGCTGCTTCAACAAGTGCCTGCTTCCAGGGTGACCCGCCACTGCTCCCACCTCAGGAGCCAGCAGGAGATAACGGCATTTTATTTGAATGGCTTCCACCTCCCTGGCTCCCCCTGCTCTCTCGCTCACAAGTGTGGCCGTGGCTGCCCCAGCGCACAGTGGGAGCTGTCAGTTGTTTACCCAGCCACCATGGCCACATACTAGGTCAGGGCAGCCATGTGCCCAGTTGGAGGCCTTGAAGAGCAGAGGAGGTAGCACCTTCACCTGTAAAATGGAGGGGAAACAGTGAGATGTGGGTGTTTGCTGCACAATTCGAAGCCCGCTAGTTCTCTTTGTGCCTCAGTTTCTCCATTTGTGAAATGAAGGTGGTGATTAACTGTCTGCTTAATGTTCCTGTGAGGCTTAATTCCTTGTGTTTACAAAATGCTTGGAGGTCCTGTATGGAGGGAGGCGTTGAGAGCTTGTGTGCGCTGTGCTTGTAGCCTGTTGTTTCAAGCTGTAAATCTTTACTTAGATGATCTCTGCATCTCAAAATTACTTCAGTAAAAAAAAACCTACAAAATGAGTCGCTACACTGATTTGTTTTGAACTGGAAACTTCCATATTTGTTTGCTTTTCAGACAAATCTATTACATTTCTGTATAACTCTGTCTATTCAGAATGCTATAGCCTTGGTTAATATTTGTCAAATGGAGCTCTGACTGTCTAAACCACTGGGATGAGTTTTATTTTATATGTCATCAGTAGGGGCAGAATGAGGAGCTTCATGCTTGGCCTGTTTGCTGTAACACAGTCCCAGGGCCATTGCATCAGAGTCAAAACAAGGAGCAGCTTGTTTCCAAACAAGAAGCATGGAAGAAAGTCTTCTCTGCCTCCCTCCCTGTAAGGGAAAAGGGCGGGGGGGGGAGAAAGTTATCTTTAACAGATTCTAAAAATGCCTTTTCCCAAATATGCAGTCAGTCCCTTCAAAGGTCTCTTTGTTTGTTTTCAGGAAGAAACCCAAGACAGCTGAAAACCAGAAGGCGTCTGAGGAGAATGAGATTACTCAGACGGGTGCATGCAGCGCCAAGCCGGGCCTTCCCTGCCTGAACCTTGAAGCTGTTCCGTCTCTGAGCCCGGCCCTCATCCACTCACCACATTCACCAACAAACCTGCACGCACGCACAGGGTCATCTGATTGTGAGTACACCAACACACCGATGGGTTGCACCAGGGTTCTTGAAAACATGCTCCTTACTGCAGACCAGGTTTTCCACTTGGATGCTCTTTCCATAATGGCACAAGCAGGACTTCCTCAGGGCTTATTTTCCCCTTCTTTGGGAATTACCACTGAAACAGAGCATTTTGTGTTAAGGTCGCGATAATGCAATCAGCCAGAGGAAGCTGAGAGCGTGGTGTTGGGTCAGGTTGCTGCTTCTGATGAATTAAAAGGGAAGACCCCTCAAGCGTGTCTCTTTCCAACTAGAGCTGTAGTTATTCCTCTGCAGGTAATCACATGCTTCTCATTACCCAAGCGTATCTACTGATGGAGATTTTCAGCCTCTGCTGTGTTGCAGTGGGAGAAAACAAGTGTCTGGCTCTGACACCCAGGATTGTAAAGGATTTCAACCAAGAAAGGGGAGAGTATTTTGTGGAGAGAATCAGTCTGTGAGACTCTGGAAAATCTTTGTAGACCTGTGTGGTTGTACCAGTTTAAAGCCCTTGTTATGAGAGCATTCACTTTCAGATTACTCAGAATGGGTTAATTGGCCTTTTAAAAATGCTGTTTTCCATTTTGCCAAAAAATACAAAAGTAAAGGAGGGGATGATTAAAACTGGATTTTGGAAAGTTAGAACTTACCCTGTCAGCTCTTCAAAATGTTGTCATTTCACAGTGGTCTCTGCCTGGAAGTCTCTTGGGCAAGAGCGCGCAGGGTGATGTGAACGTCATCATTCACTAGTTTTAGAATATATAGTTTACCTCTTCTGCAGTGGTTTTAGGATGTTGTAAAATTTACGAGGGAGGAAAAAGGAGAAAGAAAGATGATGACACCAGGTTTCAAGAGCTCAGAAGCCAACCAGACTTTGCAAAGGCCTATAAAAAAATCAGGGCATGACAATAAAAAAATCAGATTAAAAAGTATGTATATCCTTTTCTTTTTTTAATTTAAAAATCCTGCCTCAGGGCCAAGCTTGGAAGCAGCCAGGTTATAGGGATCATCACTATCAAAATCACTTTAGCTGCAATTTATTCCTGTTGGCTTCTGACTTTATTCATGCTTCTAGAGATCTTGATTTTAATAGAGCTGGTAAAAACATTCGGGAGACCTTCCTAAATCTCACCTGGTGATTTGGGGAGAAGAAAGAGGTGTGAAACAATTGAGCAGCAGGCAGCACGCAATTTGGTATATACAAGAATTCTCTTCGAATTGGAGATGTCAGGCTCTTTGTTAAAACTGGGGTGCAGTTTTGTCTTGTAATGTTTTCTGAAAACAAAAAGCTTGTGAAAAGATGCAAAAAATGAGCAGAACAACAAGAAAAAATAATCCTTATTTTCAAACAAAGAATCTCTTTATCCCATTCACAAAGATGAAAGAATTCATTAGTAAATGGGATTTCAAACCTCACACTGATGTTTTTTGACAGTACAAATGGAAACCCATGAAAGCAACCTTAGGACAGAGGCCAGCAGGGATTGTAGGGAACTTGGAGAATGAATTCCTGCTTTTGCTTTCTGAGGTGGCCAAGTTCAGGGGTGAGGAATATTGGCAGAGGGCAATAGGGGGCAGATGGAGCCTGCAGCTCTTCATGCTCTACCTGTTCTGTGGACAGAGTCTTTTAGACCCCAAAGTTTTTAATGTTCCCAAATCACCTTCCATTCCTACTAAATTCACATTCCTACTAATTAAATATGAGTAAACTGCAAACCCAGGTTAGATGTTCCTCTCACACTGAAGTTTTCTTTTTTTCAGAAAAGAAGTTTAATAGTATTTTCAGCATTAATATTATCCTACCTCAGGAACTGTTGAAATTTAGTTCCCAAAATACAGTTACAGTCCTGCAGAAATTCAAGAAATGGTAAGATGTCTTGTGGTGTTCATCTCTGTTAGTTGATTCCATGTGCTTTGAAACCAATGGAAAAACTCCTGTTGTTTATGATTGGTTGTAACCTTTATCAGGCTGTATTTGTTTGGGGCGGTATGCATGTAATTAGTGTTTGGCATGCCCTTGCAAAATAGCAATGCCAATTTCTCACATGAACTAAAAATGAGGCATGATGAATATTTACTGCATATTTACTATAGCTATCTCCCATGTTATGTGTGTTGTTTGGTGGGGTTTTTTTAATTGCCTCAATCGTTAGTACTGGAATACATTCATTGACCCAAGAGATTAATATTTGTGGCTCCCAACATTTAAAAATGGGCTTCCCTGTCATTATAACTCCTTCACCTTACCTCTTGCCTCCCCTGCCCTTTCCCCCTCACCCTAGAATCCCTCCCTTTGTCCTTCTCTTTCCCTCCTCTCAGAGCTACATTGCCACATCTTTTTTCCTCTCAACTTTTGGACCTGTGGTGATACTTTACTTCCCTGGTCCAGCAGCACTTCCTGACCTTCTCTCTACCTTCTAGACACTACAGCATTGCTTCTCCTCCCTTGCCCAGGCCACCATACTGCCTCTACCCCCACAGCTGGGCAAATAATATTTCATTTTCAAAGGACATTCTTCATTCTGGTGGGGAGTTTTCTAGTGGATGGTAAATAATTTTAAAATACTTAAAAACTAGGATTAGACAGGAAATTTGAGAGGAATTTTTGATGAAAATATCAGAAACACCCAGAAAGAGTCAGCATGGTAGGGTATATCAATTCTTGGAAAAATGCACTGATGTACAGATGGTTCCATAAACGCTCATTCATGTATCTGGAAAAAAGACTTGGATTTTATGGGCCACCTATTCAAATCAGTTTGAAATCTTCACTGACCATTTTGCATGCACAGTCACTAGTGCTTGGCAGAAAACACCACCACATATTTATTATGAGAAATATTCAGAAGCCAATCTACTTTAAAAAATCAGGGTGCTTTTGGAATGATTCAGATCAAAATACTTTTTCCAAGCATAGGAAATAAAAACTCTATGATAGCCATCTGCTCCTCAGCTCTAAAAGGCAGAGGTGAAGAAGCCTAAGCAATAGTTTGAATGCCAGTCTTACTGAAACGAGTACTTAGCAAAAAAATCTGAGTAGAGTCATATTTGATGCACAACTTAATTTAGGGATTAATTCTATAGTGTAGTACATTCTGCATGCTGTTTCTGGTGCCAGTTATTCCCAATGAAATTGCATTACTTCTGACCCTTGTAGGACTAGGTCCTAGATTTCTGGATTTGAACATTATGATATATTTCCAGTGCAGATGAATCCTTGAAGCAAAATCCAGAGCCTAGTATGCATTGTGTCCAGTTCCCACCTCTTTCAGTCTTGGGAAATGCTAGCTCACGCAATGCGATTGGAGAAGTAAGTTAGAGGAAGAGGTGCTTCCTGAGGTACTTGCTTTCATGTAGGGCTTGGCAGATAAAAAGCACCACTTTGAATTAATTTGGAATTAAGTCATAGAGTGAACTGATAAAACTCCAAATTAGTTATACCTCTATCTACTCAGCTGTCACAAAAACATGTAGCTGCTTACCCAGAAGGAAGGTGTTTGTGCAAAAAGCTAGAAGGATGTGCATGAAGGCACAAATTCAGGAAGGGTTACAGAGGAGCAAAGGAAAGCATATGAGATTGGTGCTATTTGCAGTTTTCCACATACTTTCTTGCTTATGGATAGGGAATGCATAAAGTTGATAGAGTCCTAATTTGAAGGCTGAACTGCCTCAGGTAAAGCTTCTAAAGATTTTGCTGAGAGGGGAGGAAGTCATCAGGACGTGGCTGTATTTAAACTGATTTTGTCTGTATAGGCCACTTCAAGAGCCCTTCAGAAAGCATCTATAACTATATATGTTTTGCAAGTGCCAAGAGATAAGATCATTTTGGCAGAAACTTTCACGAGTTCTCAGAGATACAATCAGACAAAAACTTCATTCAGGCTCTGATGTATGCATCTTAACAGATGTGTCCAAACTCAAAGGAATCCCACGAGAACAGTGCAACTGAATCTCTTTGTCTCTGTTGATAGTTTAAAAAGTTATTCTTAGACATTGGATGGTCCATCTGTGAAGGAATTTGTTCCAGACAAGGGAAAAGCAACATCTTTGCAAAGAGTTTCCATGGGACTGAGAGGCAAGTTGGACAATCATTGGAAAAATGCTGAAGCAATTTTTATGATTTTAGAGAATACAGAATTCTTGCAAACACCTGAGATTCTGGTAGGGAATGAAAGTTGAGAAGGAAAGCGAGGCATGGATGATTTTTGAAACATCCATGAAACAGTCATTGGCAAGACATTGAGATGGGGGAGGACTTTCTGAAGTTATGTTTTAGCAAGGGACTGGGGAGTTTTTATTCATTACATAGAATGCACTTTATAAACACTGTTGACAGTGGACCACATCTGAACCCTTTGTCATGGCTGACTTGGTCCAATTCCAGCATTTTTTAGCTTTGTGTTGTGGTTTAACCTGGCAGGCAGCTGAAACAACCACACAGCCATTCCCTCACTCCTCACCCTCAGTGGGATGGGGGAGACAATCAAAAAAAAAGTAAAATTTGTGGGTTGAGATATAAACAGCTTAATAGGACACAAAAAGAAGAGAATAGTAGTAGTAGTAATATAATAATAATAATAATAATGATATACAAAGCAAGTGATGCACAGCACAATTGCTCACCACCTGCTGACTGATGCTCAGCTAGTTCTCGAGCCGCTGCGCCCCCCACCCCAGCAAACTCCCCCAGTTTATATACTGAGCATGACGTCATATGGTAT